TCTGTTTGTTGTAAAAAACCATACTGAAATATACAATATTTCACTTTATTGATACTGCTTCACTCTAATGTCATTACTTACAAGTGGTTCAGGAGATTTTCTTTTATATAAAACTGATTCAACATATTTGGTAGGCGGTGATTTCGTGTCAATAAATTGATTTTCCTCTTCACTAAAATTGAATATTTTTTATAGTTTAGCACTATTTCTAAAGTCTTCATCTGAAAACAAATTCTATACCTGTATAATAATTTTCCCAAAGTAGAATACCTAAAGGATGTGAATCTAACTTTTTTTTTATAGTTCAATTCGCCTAAACTAACTTAATACACCCAAGGAGAGTTACTATATTTAAAAATGTAATTAAATTAATTTATTTAATATTTGGTTATCTAGAAGGTGCTTATACTGACTTTTATCATCGATAGTCATACTTAATATTTATATCTAATATTCGGGCCATGAGGTTTAAATAGCAAAAAGTAAAAAAGAAATTTTGTATCATCATAAATTATTATACTTAATACTTAAATTTACTCTATATTAAAATAAATATCAATAAATTTTTAAGCATTATATTTTATAATTTGAAATCCCCGTCTTTCTTGAAATAAGCGAGTGTGTCATTTAATGCAAATAGTTGAGTTGGTATAAAATTTTATTATCAAATGAAGATTTTTTTAAGTGAATTATAATCATGATTTGTTAACATTAGTAATATTTAATTACTCAGTTGTATATGATTCTGGATTCAAAAAACTATTTGGAAAATACATTTAAAAATTTACTGTACGATAGTGGATGCTGGGTTTTTAAAGTAAGGTAATTTGTATAAATATAAAAATACAACTTAGTAATGCTATATGATTATTATTTATTTATTTTAATCAATTGACAGCATGTCAAACGAACGATCTACAACAAACAGTAAAATGCACAATTATTCAGAAAATGTATATAATGTTAAGTGAATCAAACAGAAGATTATTGTTAAATGTTATTTAAACATTTTAAATATCACTATAACGACAAGAAAAAATTTTTCTTTGCTCTGCCCGGAATACTGTTCAACAAATTTTTAGCTTCGATACGAACCTGTGAAGGTATTAATTTTACTATGATGTGTTTTTTTAAAAATTTTTTTTTGTGTCTGTGAACGTTCAATCTCAGCTCTCGCTGGACCGATTTTGATGAACAATACGTGAAAAGATCCAAAATCATATCTAGTCGAAGACATTACTCTCAAAAATTGAAAAAAAATTCTAATTTATCAATTAAACAATAACTTATCCCATGTTCTCAATTCAGGCAATTACAATAATTCATTTCTAATGTTTTCAAAATATTTATTGACGAATCAAGTTTGATATGATAATTTTATATGATAGTTTTCAAATAAAAAATTTACTTTGTAATTTAATAATTTTTTTATTCTATTTGTGTGTGCTACTACTAGACTATAATACAAACAGTGATTAAAATCACTATCATAAGAAACGCTTCGATGCAAATCTGTAGATAGTGTTTAATTTTAAAAAATTGATGGAT